AATGGCACTAACTAGATTTCTGTTATCTATCTCCCGGAGTAGAGTGATTTAAGCTGTTTACCCTCTGGTTGGGGAGGAGAAGTGTAAACCATTTACTCTTTAGTGTCTTTGGTTGGGGAAGATAGAATTTTGCAATTTACTAGACGGTTGCAAACTGCTTGGCCTTTTACCAACGGGCTCGGTTTCCTTATTTTACTCGTCCTGGCTTACTAACACGTTTCACATCAGTATGCAATAGCTGGCTGCTTCCTTTTAAAACGCTGGCTCTTTCTTTTGTGGCTTCACTTGATTTTCAGCATCTTTTGCCAGTCCCCTTCCTTTTCCTGGCTCCTTAGACGCTCAGGGGTTAAACCTGAGCTGTCTTTTTTTCATTCTACACTCTTTCCCTAGATCATCTCATTCTCTCTTACTGCTTTCAGTACAGTCTACATACCATTGATTTATAAATCTAGTCTATATTTTTCAAGCCTAGACTTTCCCACACCCTTATATCAAAGATGCCCTTTAGTCATTTCACCGGTCTCACAAGCATCTCAGACTAGGCCTATCCAAAATTACTTGCCTGATTCCCCCCCCAAACTACTCCTCTTCCCTCAGTGCTGCCCATATCAGATAATAGCATCTCATCCATCCAGTTCATGGTGTCAGAAATCTGGGAATCAACATTTCCACTATCTTCTCAATTTTTATAAGCCCACCCCTTACTAAAGTCCCATGGAAACTACCTCTAAAATAAACCTTGGATCTTTTTAAAAAATATATGTATTTATTGATTTTTTTAGAGAGCGAGGAAGGGATCCTGAATGCCCCCACTGGGGATCAAGCCCACAATGTGGACATGTGCCCTGACCTGGAATCGAACCAGTGACCTCTTGGTGCATAGGATGGCGCTCAACCGACTAAGCCACACTGGCCAGGGCTAAATCTCGGATCTTTCCACTTCACTTCATCTTCACCTCCACCATTTATTCATGTCCAAGTCACCATCCTCGGCTGGCATGTAGCCTACCCTTTAACTCTGGTTCCATTGCTTCCATTCTTCTGTGCTAACAAAACAGCTACTACTATCACCACGCACCTCTCTTCCTTGGATAGATCTAGACTAAAATTTCTACTGAGTCCCTTTTCCTAATCCTTTATTTTTTTAAAGTTTAGTTTAAAGTGAGTTTATTATCAAAGCAGTGAGACAAAGAGTGGGCTACTCCACAGACGGAGCAGCTCCTACCCCCTCTTAATCCTTTCTTGAGATTTGTTAATGGCAGGATGTTATTAGTTCCTTATGAAAGTTCATTAATCTCATCCATCACCTATGGGTTTTACTAGTTTAACCTTCATTGGTAACCTTATTTCCAAGGTCTGCAAGAAATCTCATGGGTTTTCTGTTTGTTTTTGTTTCTTCCTTTTGTTGTAAATAACCAGGTTTGGGTAATTAAATAGCTGATGACCAAATGGAGAAATCCGGAAATCAAGATTTTATAATCGTTCTGACCTTTGGCACATGAATTTTTCTTGTTAGTGCACTGTGTAATCCAGACCTGAAGTAACCCAATGTCTGTGATAAGATGTTCCCTGGGCTAAAGTCTCCCTTTTTCTAGATATGGAACCCCAGAGGATACACATCTCATAAATTAATTTCTAAAGTCCAAATAAATTTTCACAGCAAAAATTTATGAACAGCTTGCTGAAGTTGATTTCGGTGAAGAGAGTGCCTCAATGTGCTGTGCTGTGGGAAAGTCAGGCAGAGACCCAGAGAAGCTGTGCCAAGCAGGCCACCAGCAAAGGCCAAGACAGCATTGTATCCCTTATTCAGTAAAATGCCTAGAAAAATCTGTTCCTCACCACTGTGAATGCTGGTCTCTGTTAGGAAATTATGTAGAAATGTCACAAGTTGTTTAAATACTATAATAACAACTTACATTTTTATATTTAAAATGTCATTTTTTAAAGAATCCTATCAACTCGCCCTTTTAGCTTTTCTGTAAAGGGCCCTAGTCATAGGATATATTTTAAAATTTGTCTCCTGCCTTTCCAAGTCTCTTTGTCCCTTCAAAACAGTATTGAAGGGACAAACAGTTTCAAAACCGTTTTGTTATTGCTCAGGAGAAAACAAATACCACTCCAAGTGTGGCTGTTGTGTCATTATTTTAAAGACTTTTGCTTTGCTTCTGGTATTGTTTTCTTAATTGAAAAGTAAAAAAAGTGTCCCTTGGCCAGTGTGGCTCAGTGGTTGAGCATCGACCCAGGAACCGGGAGGTCAGGGTTCAATTCCAGGTCAGGGCACATGCCTGGGTTCAGGCTCTATTCCCAGTCGGAGGCATGCAAGAGGCAGCTCATCAATGACTCTCTTATTATTGATGTTTCTCTCTCTCTCCCTCTCCTTTCCTCTTTCTGAAATCAGTAAAAACATTTTTCTTTTTTTCTTTTTTTTAAAGTGTCTAGTTCAAGTGGCCCTCAGCTCTTCAATCATTCTGTAATCTATCGAACAGAGTTTGTCCACCTGGTGCTAGCAGAGCCAAACACTTAAGGCCAAAAATTGCAGTGGAGAAAAATAGGCTATTTTATTATGAATGACACCACCTGGGAGAACAGGAAGCTAGTGCTTAAAAGCCTGAACTCTCTGATGGCATATAGGTGACAAATTACATAGAGTGAAATCACAAGGTATCCTGGATTATGGATTGGATCCTGCTGGGGGATGATTGGTGCAGGTTAGGTAAGGGTAAAAAAATCATTTTTTCAGGTCTTGAGGACAGCTCTGAGGTCTGTTCCAGTGTCCTTCTGTCTGGACTCATAGGAAAGTAGCCAGGGGGTAGTCCTAGCTAGGGCTCACAAGCTGAAACATAACTTAGGTCAAGATATTATATTTAGCCTGCCAGAGGTCTGCACTTTGTGATGATTAGTCAGGCCCAGGTTACTGTCTTCTGATGCCTTGGGGTTTGCTGATGATCCCAGGTAGATGATTTTTAGAGCTAGGATTTAAAGCTAAATTTAATTAAAGTCATAAGGACTCTCAGTTTCAATTCCTGGGGTTTTCTCCATCTTCAGCTTCACTCACCGGAAAGACATGCTTGAGAGACTATATGGAAACCCCATGGAAACCCACAAAGCAAGGAGAAAAATGTGAGTGTTTTGTTTTTGAGCCAAACTGAGATACACTTCGGAAGCAAAATCTCATGTTCCACTTATTTATGCATTCATTGGTTGTTTCTTGCTTCTTTTTAAAAAAATCCTCAACCGAAGACATATTTACTGATTTTTAGAGAGAGAGGGAGAAACAGAAACATCAATCTTCTGCCTCCTGTAGGAACCCCGATAGGGGACTGAACCTGAAGCCTAGTTATGTGCCCTGATCGGGAAGCAAACCTTCCACCTTCTGGTGTATAGGACGATGCTCCAACGAACTAAGCTACTGAGCCAGAGCTGAAAGGTGAGTTTTTTGTTTGTTTGTTTTTTAATATGTCTTTGTTGATTTCAGAGAGAGGAAGGGAGAGGGAGAGACAGAAACATCCATGATGAGAGAGCCATTGATTGGCTCCCTCCCGCACACCCCCCACTGGGGAAACGGGGCCTGCAACCTGGGCATGTGTCCTGGCCTGGAATCCAAATGGCGATCTCCTGGATCCTAGGCCGATGCTCAACTGCTGAGCCACACCAGCCAGGTTGAAAGGTGAGTTTTAAATTCATGTACATGAGTGAAGGCAGGCAATCCCCATTTAGTCATCTCTCCAAGCAAGGCCTGCTTAGGAACTGAGTGCAGGAGCTGCTGGAGGAACCAGTCAACATAGCCAAGCCTTGTGGGAGGTCTCTCAAAGCAAAGAACAGAACCGACTCTAAGTTCCCTGCAAAAATCCATCCCATTGCCTGTAACGTCTTAGAACACCCCCTTACCCCTCCACACATTCCCCTTTTTGTCATTATTGAGGTTCTAGAGCTTGACCCACATTCATCACCAAAATTGTTTTAGAGCTCCTACACTGTACAGAACATTTTAGCAGGTTCTATTTAAGAAGTGAGGCCTTGCCTTCAGTGGGCTTCCAGGGCATTGGGGAAGGAACTGAAAGTGTAGGCTGTGTCCCATATGTGGGGCACGCAGTAAGTGCCAAACAGAGTCTTAAAGGGCCAGGGGAAGGTCTCCTGGGGGAGGTAATAGGACCTGGTGGAGAGTCTGGAAAAGAGGCTGTAGGGAATGAAATAATGAGCACTGTTCTCAAAGGAGGGAGGGGCTTCGATGGAGCCTGCATCAGGGCGGCGGCGCCCGTCCCTCAGCCTCGGAATTCCCAGAGCTGATCGCACAGGACCTCGGGCCTCTCCTCAGATCTAGACTTAACTCTCTCTGAGTCTCAGGGCTGGTCCTGAGAGACTGCCGCACACGGCGCATCCCCATTCTTCTGCGGCTAAACCTCGAGAACACCGGTGCGGCGGCTGTTGCCTCTGCAAGCTGCTTTCGAGGCAGCGATGTCTGCTCGGATGTGAGGCGGTCAGAAAAAGTGTGCAGCAGGTGGAGGCTCCCCTCGCCCGGCGGCCGCGTCAGCCCCCAGGGCTCTCTCCCGGGGTGGGAAGCGGAGGCAGCCCCGCCCTCCCGCTAGCCCCGCCCA